AATCTCTTTCAAGGCTACAGGCTAAAATCATAACTTCATGTAACAATACCATTGACTTCAAATTATGCAGAGACTTAAGATACAGCCCAATAATGGACTCTTCCTGTCCATCCATTTGTTCAAGCCTAGATCAGAGTTGACCACAAACTGGTAGGATAGTAGGTCATGAGGTGAGTAGTGCTAAAACGGAGAGTGAGCAATCACCCTGTGAAAGGTAGGCGCTCAAGTGGGGCATGGTGGTGCATACCTGGAATATTGGCACTAGGGAAGTGGTGACAGAAGGACCCGGGGTTTGAGGTTAGCCTCCAATACATAGCAAGTTCGAGGCCAGCCTATCCTCATACCGGGGTTTGAGGTTAGCCTCCAATACATAGCAAGTTCGAGGCCAGCCTAGCCATGAGATCCTGCTTCAAAAATAAAAATTAAAGGCAGAAGTGGTGAAGGCTCCAGGTGGTTCCCATGCGTGCGTGGGCTACCAGACCACACATTGATCTATACGAGGCTTTGGAGATGAAAGATGAATGAACTTTTATTTGTTTATGTCTGTCTTCCTTTTCTAGACAGTAAGGCCAGAGGCTGGTGGATTTTTTTCTCTAAAGAGCCAGAGAGAAAATATATTAAGCTTTATGAGCCAAGAGGCCACATACTTTGCCACTGTAGCATGGACTCCACTAGACAAGTACACAAACTACCAACATGGGGGTGTCCTCTGCCAGTTCAAGATGAGTGCAGGCTGAGTCTGGCTAGGGTCCACACAGTGCCACTCCTAACCTGGAGTAGGAACCTATTCTTCTATGCCTGGAGCCCCAGAACTGTGCATAGTGTTTGGCAGATGGTGCCAGGTTGGAAAATGGTGAGGGCGTGCTTACAGTTCTTGCCTCAGGGATATGTATTCTGGTGAAGCATAGAGGAGGTAAAATAGCAAATGAGAATGCTGCGAGAGGTCCATGTTCCATGTGTTTGGGGGACATCAGGGTAGAAGGAATATCAGGGGCTTGGGATGCCAGGCAGAGCAAATAAAAATACAGGACTCCTGGTTAACTTTGAATTTTGGGTAGACAGTGAACACGATACTGAGGACATATACTAGAAAAGTAACTAGATGTGTGGGGTGGGGGTGGGGGGACAGACAGCTTGCTGCACAAGCATGAGGACCTGAGTTTGGATCCCCAGTATCCACACAGAAAGCTAGTCATGAGGGAGCACCTGTAATCTGAGCAACAGAAGAAGCAACAGAGGAGCCCAGAGCTTGCCTAGAGAATTGTGAGCTCCAGACTCAAAGTGAAAGGCTCCGACTCAAAAACAATAGAGTGGGAAACAGTAGACGATGGCACTCAGCACCAACCTCTGGGTTCTGCACCTACGCACACTTATGCCATGGGTGCTTTCACCATCCTGTACACAAAATATATGTGGCTTATCCGGAATTCAGAATTAACTGCTTACCCGCTGCCCAGGAACACAGAGAAGTTCCCAGGGCTGTGAGTTGTGCCAGGAGAGAGCATGTACCTGGTAATAAAAGAGGCCTGAGACTTCGAAGGAAAGGACAAAATTGAGTGCCACCAAATTGACATTCCTAGAGTTAGGAGCCACTTCTCATCCTGGCTGAGGTGTGGCTGTGGGGGATGGGTGGGCCCACAGTCAGGCTGGAGAGAGGGACACAGCTTTGAGCCTGAAAAGGTCAGACTCAATTCGGTAGATAACAGTAAAGGAGTCAAGGTCCCTAAGCAAAGGAGTGACTTTTGCCAGAGGCTCCTGATCCACAGCATACAAACTCTCCCAAGGGATTTACAGCAGGTTAAACTCTGGCCTGCTTTTAACTTAGTTTCTTTCCCCAGCTGTTCAGGTTGGATTTTCCTCATGATGAAGGTGTTCTCACACACATCCTCATGCACACACAATACAGGACCAACATATTTACACACACAAATATACACACACACATACTTATTCGTATATTAATCTATACCTTTTGTAGGGCTTTCCTATTAGAAGCTATCCAGTAAGAAGCTGGAAATTTGTCTCTAAAGCTCAGAAGAGAGATGGACAGGTGAAGGAGCCATTGCCTGGAATGCAGCCCAGGACATTATGTCAGTGAGAGAACATGTAAAGAGGAGAGAGGTAGCCAAGAGAGGAACTGGGAAGAACCCCAGACTGGGATAGGCAAAATAGACTGGGATAGACAAAACAAGGTGACTAAAATCAGAAGACAATTTTGCCCCAGAATTTAGTCAAAGAGAAAGCATGGAGGTAAAGAAAAAGAGCCACAAGAAGACCAAACAGGGACATTGAACTTGTTAGTCTAGTCACTGGTGACTTACTTCCATGCAGCTTGTGCCTCCATAAGGATGAAGATAGGACACTTTGAGCTGTGTGGTCTCAGCTCTGTCTTATTTAATATATTTGATTAATACCATGAGTGAGGACATTGCTCATGAAATCGAAAACATTCCCAGCACATGTACTCTGTGCCAGGAACATCCTAACGATGGCTCAGTAAGTCTCAGAAGAGATAAAGCTGTAAGGGTTGGAGATTAATTCTGATGGAGGGACCTTGTGGTGGTTGGGATGAAAATGGCCCCCATAGGCTCATAGTGAGTGGCACTGTTAGGAGGTATAGCCTTGTGGGGGTACATGTGGACTTGTTGAGGAAGCATGTCGTTGGAGTGGGCTTAGTTTCAAGTGCTCAAGTCAGGCCCAGTAGCACTCTCTCTTCCTGCTGCCTGCTGATCTGGATGTAGAACTCTCAGCTTGCTCCTTTTCATTATAGATCTGTATAAGACTTCCCACTAGTAATGAATACTAGACTGTTTTGAAGTCTCCTCTGCCAAGTCTGTTGATCCAAAACTTTTCTATTTAGCTTCAAGCTAAATTTTTGGACAAGGACAAAAAGCAGCCACATTCTTCACCAAAATACCATAAGAACAGCCTTATAGACTTAGGCCACATACTACCAATCTTTTTCTCTAAAACCTCTTAACTGGGCCCCCATAATTCAAATCCCCTCAGCACCACTGTCTTCCATGCTCCCACTAGGATGGCCCTCTTGAAATGTCCAAAGTCCCAAAGTCTACATTCCTCCAAACAAAAGCACAATCGGGCCTATCACAGCAATACCCCAGTCCCTGGTGACAATTCTTTCTTAGTCAGGGATACCATTGTGTGGAGAGATACCATGACCATGGTAACTCTAATAAAAGAAAGCATTTAGTTGGGGCTTCCTTACATTCAGGGGATTAGTTCATTTTCATCGTGTCAGGAAACATGGCAGCACACAGGCAGACATGGTGCTGGAGAGATTCTACATCTGCATCCACAGGAAGCAGGAAGAGCGGGTGACAGTGGGCCTGGCTTGAGCATCTGAAACCTCAAAGCCCACTCCCAGTGACACACTCCTCCCACAAGGCCACACCTATTCCAACAAGGCCACATGTCCCAATTCTTTCAAATAATGCCACTCCCTATGAGACTATGGGGGCCATTTTAGAGCTGAGACCATCATAAGCTTTGATAGATTTATCTAGAATGAAGTTAGGCTACTGACAAGCCAAACATTGTTTTTGTAGCCCAGTGAGCTAACCAATGATGGTGAATGCTAACTCAGTACTTCTAGGAAGCAGCCAGTCTACATCAGAAGAACATCTGAAGAAGTAGTTCTTTTAGTGACAAGTAGGTTAATAACTCCCAAGCACTCAAATAATTTATACTCTGATCACATCACTACCACACAGAGCCCCTTTAGGACAAGCTTTATGGAAAATGTAATCAGATTTGTAACTAATATATCAATTAGCTGATGATAAATTGTGCTTGTGTGCTACTGAAGCATTTGGGTTCTCTGTAGATTAAATATTTTATCAGCATCATTATTTATTTTGCAGCATTCATTGGCTTTTGAGTCAAGCTTCAGAAAGCTGGCATGGGTTCAAAACTCCATGTACCTGATAAGCAGAGATGAGTCTCAGTTTCTTACATGGTAAATGGGCATAATAGCATCTATCCCAAAGAATTAGTAAAATCAGATTAAGTAATACAACATCAGGGAAGTAACCACAGCCTAATGTCACTCATTAGGACAAGCAGCTTCAGTCTGGTGTCTTGGTTCTGGAAGCTTTGGGGGAAGTTCCAAAGACAGTGGAGTCTGGGCAATGAGAGAAAAAATGAGATGGAGAAGAAGAAGTAGTCTGTTGCTGGAAGATGTGTCAAGGGGTGGGGTGGCAGCTGAAGGGCCCTTCAGTTAGATCCTGGAGTTCCATCAGAATTGGCCATCTTCCTCAATCCTGAGAAGCCACCTGGAGCTTGGCTTGGCCATGGAAACAGTAGACATAGAATACTTTTGTAGTTGTCACACTTAAGATCACAGCTAGCTTCCTCATGGAGATTGATGAGCACTGCTGAAGAATGGAAGGTCAACCTGCCTCCTGTGGCAGCCAAAGCTCTCCTCCAGGTGGACTAAAGGGAGCCATGGCATCCATGATCTATGGATGGGGAACACTCCATATATATATATATGAGAGAGAGAGAGAGACAGAGACAGAGAGAGAGAGAGAGAGAGAGAGAGAGAGAGTGCTTCTATGTGTAGTGGCACTCACTCTGTAGCCCAGGCTGGCCTCGAACTCACAGAGACCTGCCTGCCTCTGCCTCCCAAGTGCTGAGATTAAAGGCGAGATAGATTATATTTTTTTAAACTCTCTAATATGGTCTTTGTTTTTTTAAAGGAAGGAAACTAAGCTCCTATGGGGCAGGATTTGGAAGCACTCCAGTACAATTTTTATTTTTCTAGTTACCCTAAACATATTAGGCATCTAAAATGTCCAAGGGCTTCTTGAGCCCTTGAGAGGAAGGGAGAAAGGCAGGAGGTGGGAGTGGGGTGTGATGGGGGAAGTCCTTCTGTGTATATGTTTGTCTTACTGGTTGATAAAAACAAAGCACTGTTGGCCAATAGGAAAGCAAGATAGGTGGGGCTAGGAGTCGAGGAGGATTCTGGGAAATGTAGTAAAGAGGAATCGCCATGTGATCCCAGGAAGAGAGGACCTGCATGCCACTGGTGTCCTCCATAAGGTAGGTCTTAGGTGGGGCTAGGAGTCGAGGAGGATTCTGGGAAATGTAGTAAAGAGGAATCGCCATGTGATCCCAGGAAGAGAGGACCTGCATGCCACTGGTGTCCTCCATAAGGTAAGTCTTTATAAAATATATGGATTAATGGGTTATGGTTGATACTTAAGACAGAGCTAGCAAATAAGAAATCCTAGTCATTGGCTGCCCTAACGTGGCGGCGAAACTCAGGCACCTGGCAGAAAGTTATCATTACAGGGGTGAGTGGAAGCAGAAGGAGAAAGATGGAAGACTTCCTACCTAGTTACAGATGGAACAAAGCCATGAAAACAGTTTAGTAAAGACCCATAGATCATAGATAGAAATGAGACAAGCATTTGGAAAAATAGGTCAAAAAATGGCTGGTGCCTATTCAACCATGACGAAGTTCTGGGCATGTGCCTTCACCTTGACTATGATGATCCCTGGTTAGCTCTGGATGCCTCGGTGTAGAGGAAAAAAATCCAAGTTTCCCCACTCTGAAGCTTTGCACATAGAGACATGGAGGGGAGTGTGTACAGGGCAGAGAGCTACCAATAGCAAACTAGGAACATGTTCAAAACTAAACCACTGATTTGTTTTTAGTCACAATAGTCATGCTTTTCTATTAAGTTTTTACTTGGGGATGGAGGCAAGGGTTTAAACAAGCAAAGAAATTACTGGAGTTGTTTAGGAATCTCTGAAGCAGAAAGCAAGAGAGAGAGACTGTTGTGACTGCACAAAGACCTGAACACTCCTTGCTTGCTGAGTGAATGAACTAAAGAAGGAATAAATTAATGAGATGCAGAGCCCTGACACTCTGTGTGCTCAGGTACCCAGGTGGACAACAGCACAGGAAGAGATGCAGTTGCTTCTCAGTTTGCTTCTGAGAGTCCAGTGTATAGTGAGGAGACAAAAAAGCTGGTCACAGCCTTCTCCACAGACTCTGAGTGACAGTTTGTCTCCTTCTACACAGAGGTTAACAGAGCCATGCCATGGGATTCACAACATGGCAGATGACAACAGAGGCAGGAGATCAGGCAGTGGGAAGAACCAGTCTCCTGGTGTCTTCTCAGGGCAGGGGGCAGCAGGGCAGCAGGGACCCTGGACAGAGATGATTCTGGGATCCAAAGAATGTGAAGTAGGACTCAGAAAGTTCTGTCCTTAGAGATCTTGTGGTTTGAGAAGCTAAAGCAAGCTCTTTCTCCCACTTAGAGGGTTGAGGCTTGAGCAAAAACAGCATAAACATCAAAAACCAATGTCTAAACACCAAATGAGAGGGTTGTGCCCAGCACAGATGTTCCCAGGATGCAGAAAGGTCCCAGATGTCATTTAGACAGAAAGGCATGCCACATAGTCACTCACAAGCTCTCTACCTGGAAATGTCTGGGCTCAGTCAACAGCATAGACCGAATCATTGAAAACTTTCCTTCTGTATCCCTGGACACACCATTTGGAAGGGCTGATGTAGAAGGTTCAATGTTAAAACCAGAAATGGCATCTAAAAAGTAACCCAGGGTGGGCTTTGTGTAGAGCAGCAAAGGGGAATATTAGTGGCATGGCAGTGAAAAACTTCAAGTGCATTTGTGAGGGGCAGAAAGGGCCAGATGGAAGACATGTCTACTAAAAGTAGATGACAATGGACCCCCCCAAGTCCATCTGCCCATTAAAACACCCAGGACATCTGTTAAGAATAGGAGTCTTAGCTTCTTCCTGGTGAGAAAGGGGAACATTCATTCAAAGATGAGGGTGAGCACTCATTTAAAGATGATGGTAGACGACAGTCTAACGTTTTGTAAGTGCTGTGGGTGGCTTCTCAAGTGGCCAGTTTTCTGTCTGGAACAAGAAGGACTGGGATAGAGGGAGTGTGGCTTGAAGGTTGGACAATGAATTCTTATTGATGCTAGGCTCAACACCACTCTGATGCCTCCCCCTCTTAGTGCTTGTTGATGCTAGGACCAACACCACTCCAATGTCTTTCCTTCTTAGTACTCTGAGATTCAAAGCTGTTAGCAGGGGAGGAGATCTGTGGTGATGAACATAGTTTATGGCTTTTGTGCCTTGTTCCAAATCTAGTGTACATTGTATACTTAGGGCACATTGTGACCTGCATTAGACAGTCTGAATGCTCACAGGCCAGCTGGAACAGCACCAGACTCAGCTGGAAAGCCCTTCCATTACTGAAGGAAACCTGGTCAGATTTCCCCCAACTCCCTCAGTTGAATATCACAGTGAAGTATTACTAGATGGTTCTCATTTAAGTCCAAGATAGAAAATGACCTTTAAACATCAAAATTGCTTATGAAGCAATATGTGTATCTGCTTTATAGAGACACCCCCAAAGATTTAATGAGCAGGTTGCTCAGTGCACATCTCTGAAAGTGAAAGTTAAATGCCTAGATTGTACATGTTTACCATAAGAGTGTGTCTCAGTTTGCTTTCTACTGCTGTGTAAGACACCATGTTGAAAAGCAACTTAATGGGTAAGGTTATATTTCAGCTTATGGGTACAATCCATTGTTAAAGGAAATCAGGGCAGGAACCTGGAGGCAAGAGCTGAGGTGGAAGCCATGGAGGAATGCTACATAATAGCTTGCTCAGCCTGTTTTCTGCTACAGCCCAAGACCACCTGCCCAGGCTGACACCACCATGCTGGGCTGGGTCCTCCCATATCAATCATTGATCAAGAAAATGCCCCCACAGCCTTACCTGCAGGCCAATCTGATAGTGGCAATCCCTCAATTGATGTCTTCTCTTCCCAGATAACAAAAACACTAACCAGCATAGTGGGGGTGAAATTCCAGCTCAGACAATTCAGGTGAGTTCCTAGATGGAAGAATCTAGAAATCACAAAGGCAATAGAGCTCTGTCACTTTTGATGAGACTGGATTTCTGGCACCTATGTCTCCCCATCTGCAAACAGAGGTATGGCATATCAGTTCCCCATTCAGAAGGTTGTTCTGAGGAGGGACGAGTGGAAGAAGGCAGGCTACAGAGAACACTGTATTTGCTTTCTTGTCTTCACAGTGCTGAACCCTTGGCTACTGACAGATGTTTGCTGCTAAGCAGAGTTCTGATCAGGGCTGGCTCACTATAGGTATATGAAGGGAATGACAATGCCTAGCCCATCCTTCTCCACCACATGACATCAATTTCTGAAATGGCGATGATGGAAATCACCCTTTAAGTCTGTGCCGCTCACCGTGGACCTACCATTACAAAGTGGAAGAGGGGGCTCGCTACACGATTCAGTGGGGAAGGCATTTACGGAGCAAATCTGGCATCCTGAGTTTGATTCCCAGAACCCAGTAAAGATGGAAGAAGAGAACTGACTCCAAAGAGTTGTCCTCTGACCTCCATATACACACCATGGCATGCCCCTACATATCATCTACGTATAGAATAATTAATCAATCTGTCAATTAATTACAAATAAGGAGAAGAGGGCTGGGTGTGGTGGTGGGTTATGTCTGTCATTCTATCAGAAGCTAGCACAGGTGTGTTGCTGCCAGCCTGGGCCATAAATAACCTGGACTACAGTGTGCACCCCTATCTCAAAAAACAAATGAACAAACAATGCAAGACACTTTTTTAAATTAAAAAAAAAACAAATGGGACATCAGCTAAAATCATCATTGTGTTGGCATGAAGGTGTTTCTTGTGCCTTTCTCCTACCCGGAGTAGCCTTGGGGACCAGTGGGGATCCTAGCAGGCAGGGCCTTAGACACAGAAGAATGGCTGCATGTCTGTACACTCATTAGCTCATGAGCAGTGGTCAAACCTTAGAGAGCTGGACAATATGGAGATGCCTCAGTTGATAAGGTGCTTGCCCTGCAAGCATGAGAGCTGAGTTTAATCCCCAGAAC